CTTAGGGAGGCATGTAGACCTAGCCATTGTGACTCTTTCCAGCCGCCTTCCAGCCACAATTCTGATGTCTTCCTTTTTTTGTGCTGACATCCTTGATGATCCAGTCCTTCCGTGACTGTATATTGATTTGTATTTAACTTAATTGTCTATAATACTATGTAACTTTTGTGCTCCCTATAGAATTCTCAGAGTATTAATCATAGGGCATTTACATTTATTCTTCATTAATTTTTCTACAGGGCCGTTAAAACATTTTATATTTGTTATATTTTATTTTGTAATTAGGGAAGAAAGCAGTGTGAATAAGGGTGGACTTTTAGTCTTCACTATGCCTGCAGCAACACTATGGATTACAATCTGGATTACATTGATTTACCACTAAGTATGTGGAAATATCTGGACCAGTCAACACTGTATATTTTGTTCACTATTCATATTACATCATGATACTGTTTTATGTGCAATTAATTCAAAGTTACAGGAAAAATAAAATATTTTATTTGAATAAATATATAGATCACATTTATTTAATTTTGTTTAAAGTTAATGCTTATCATTAATAAAATATCCAGCAATGAATCACATTAATAAGCACTAATTTGCACTAGTTTGATAATTAAGGAGTATGAAATGTGGCTTGAAAGATGTTATGAGCATTCATAGTCATTTAGAGATTTTTTTTGCCAGCACTATTTGGTAATGTGAAATTGAAAACAGATGAGATTTGGACCTGACGGTCAACAACTCATATTTGCCATGAGATAGCATTGGATCCATTTTCTTTTTTGATAGAAAAGATGATAGACAATTTGAGTATCCTTTTTGCACAATCTATCTAGACTTGTTTTCTGATCTGTACATTTTGTTTCTGTGGTAAAGCCTGATTCAATTCAAATCTATGTTACATTTGTGAAAGGTTTTTTTTTTAATGTTTTTGTTTCATATTATTTGGTTCAGTTTGTGTTTTTCATCTGCTAGGACATTTTGACAAAAGATTACGATAGGGAATAGAAATACACATACATACACAGATAAAAGAAAACAAGAAAAACCATTAGGGATTTTCTAATATTTTTTCCAAAGTAATGTTTCTCCCATTGCAGCCTAAATCTGTGTTTGAGCAAATCCATCAAATAAAATAGAGCACTTCTCCAAGATTGGACTGTATTTTTTTCCCTAATTTGATGTCATATAACAAAAATTTTACACTTATATTCTCCGGACTACATTTCAAAAATTCATACTTTTTAATAAATCTACTTGGTTGAATTTGTAAAAATGGTTAAAATTATAACTTTATAAATTAACTAGCTGAAATTGATAAGTGCATGCTTTGTAATCTATACAAAATTAATAGTTTGTTTACTAAAAGTATTTCTACTGTCATGTTCAGGATCATTGGTAGAATACTGACAAGTTTTGTTGTCTATTTTTGTATTTGTCACTGTTCGTGTGTTTGTTACAAGACAGTATGAGTTTATGCAACATTGGTGGAGTTGTTTCCTTTTGAACTTCTATCATGCAATATAAGAGAGGCATGGCTTGGTGGCTTTGCAAATCCTGAGCTTTGTAGAGTTCTTTGACAAAGTTGCCGGATCAGATGACACTATTCTTTTTCTCTTAACTGATTCACTTGTGTTCTTCCTCAAGTTTGGTAACTTTGAGAGGATAGTCTTCACACTAGTTTAAATATTCATTTATTCAATTAAAATAAAATTATCATCAAAACTATTATTGTTATTTTGCTACTAATCAGTCACATAAATATTGAAGCTCCATTGTCTTTATTTATTAGACAATGTGGTGAACAAATATTTTATATGTATATTTTATACTTTGTAATATATTTGTATAATGCCATTGCACAATTATTAATCTCATGATTTTTTTCTTATACAGTGCAACAAATAAGGGAGAATATAATCATAATAACAGAGTAGTAAAGATAAGTATATCCCTGGCATCTCATAATATATTCATTTTTTCCTAAGATTTTCCCCCCAAGGGAAATCTTGAACACAGCCCCCCAGTACTGGAAATTACACAGTTGATTTTCCCACATTTGAAGAACTGTCAGGGATCGATCAGCTCAGCTTGGGAACAGTGGATAAGCTGCAACTTGGGAAAGCCACATTTGTGATCATGGTATTTCCTCTTCTAGGTAAGCATTACAATATTAATTTAGAGGTGTTAGGACAAAGTTTTGTTGAAAATAATATGAATTCCATCTTAAAATATGAGTGGTTTAGGTAGACAAGATAGATATAGATCTGGGTAGAGTATCTGAAGTGAATGGAAAAGAATGTGAAAGGTTCCACAGTATGCTCTTTTCAGGAAACATAAAGAAATCAATGAAAAGTATGTTGGAAAGAACAAAATGTACCAGATCTTGAGATCACGCTAGTAGCAGAGATTTTGAAATCACACTGCCTTCATTTAAATCCAAGGTCTATCGATTGTTACCTGTTATGTAATAATTTTGCCCCTTAGACTTACATTGTGTCATTGAGATATATTTATGGTATTTCCTTATAAAGTTTTTATAAGAGTTAAATAGCTAATATTTTAAAGTTTTTCAATATGCTCTGGTGTGTGGCAAATACCTTTTGAGTGTTGCCTGCTTTGTTTTACCAAAGATGGTAAATGGACAAAGATATGTTTAGATGTTATTTAACCTATCCTTGTAGAAGAATTGAGAATTGTGAGTGGTATACATAAATGCCCTAAAGTAGACCAGGCAACTATAGTTTTTTTTTTTTTTTTTTTTTTATGGAGACAGGGTCTCACTATGTAGTTGAGACTGACCTGGAATGCACTATGTAGCTCAGGCTGGTCTTGAACTCACAGCAAACCTTCTGCCTCAGCCTCCTGAGTGCTGGGATTACAGGCATGCGCCACCACTCTCGGCCAGACAACTACAGTATTTTGGATTAAAATTTTGCATGCACCATGGAAGTTGATAGATGATGTATATATGGGCAAGAGGAACAAGTGTAGTTTGGGACTGATTCAGGGTCTGGATTATATTGGAGAATGATAACCTGCTCTGAAAAACTGGATGTATTATGGTTCTGCTTACAAAAATAGGAAATAAGAAAATATTTTCTCCTTGAATACTTTGATTTTGATGGGTGTGTTTCATAGTAATGAAAATATTTGGTATGTTGTTGAAATTTCATATCTGTAGCTCAAGATGGGAATCTGAGTAGTATAAGATTTTGGAGGAATCATGATGAGAGTCATGACAAAACAAAATTATTGAGGAAACTGCTTATCTAAATATGGTTGACAGATATATGAATCATAACTGCACAGCTACATTAATCTTCACAAAAGGAAACACCCATTTTATCATCCATTTTATCTGCAGTTTAATCTGCAGATAATGCAGTAGAATAAATGAAACACATATTCTAGTATGAGTGGCATTTTAGTAGAAGAAATACAGCCTTTAAGCCAAATATACTTCAAAATAATTGAAGTTCTTTGTGTTTATCAAATTTTGATAAAACTATATATAGTTTAGCCACAGCCTTACTAAAATGTTGTTTTCTTTCCCATACACTTTCTGTTCACCAAATAACAGTTCTCAGCTCTTGTTTCATAGACTTTTGAATAGCATCCTAATCCTCTCTTGTATCCTCTCTAAAAACCGTACCAAAAAATCTCTTCCTTAAGTAATAATATATTTTTCTTATTTTTTTACATCTTCTTATAATTCAATGTGCACCATAACGAAAAAAAAAAGTAAATGTCCACATTCTTTCAGAGAATGGATGACAACAGAGCCGCAAATATAGATGAGCCATAGCCTCTTTTACTGGAAAAGAGAAGAGAAAAATTATTGGAAGATGCAGACAGATGAATAATATTTTTAATTTGAGTGGTTTAAATTTATGCTACTTTTCTTGAGCACTAAGGGTGAATGTGAAGAAGGTAATGGTTTGAGTCAGGCAAGACAAGGTCCTTGAAGAAATGATAATCCTTGGAGTCTAGAATTCAGATGGAAAGATTATAAGTCATTAGGAATAAGAGTTACTTCAATGGGATGGGAAGAAGAAGCAGATGTGACTGCCGAAATTTAGGGAAGGGTCAGGGCGAGGAGGGACGGTTCCACTTGTGTCTTGTTGACAGTTGTTCAAAATCAGATATGTTGCTTCCATGACAGGGATCAGGCCTCTGGCCAATCCTTTTATAAACCTGTCATTAAACATCTCCAAAGGGATGAGGATAGTCTAGGAATCCTTTAGAATGACTAAACTTTGCTTATATTTTTTGACACAAACTATGTCTTAAATTGTAGTTAATCCAAGTGAGTCCTTTTCCTTTACTCAAGTGGCGAGAGCATTAATCAAACCAACTGCTACTCTGTTACAATTGGGGGCGTATTGGTTTTTCTTCTGCCTTTTCTTTCCACAAAGCTAGAGCATTGAAAACAAAGAAGCTTGAGTTTCAACACCTGCCCTGTCATCCACATGCCTGCTTACCTGTCCTCCCTCAAGTGCTAATTTCTATTCTAAGGAGAACATCAAAGATATCTTTTCTAATACCACACTGAAGTCATGACTGTTGTTATATTTATGTGTCTCAAAATAGTTCATTTTTATTTTAAACAATTTTAGTATTTGTAATTGCACCTATTTGATGTCATTATTTCTTCATTTTTTTCCTGGACACCATAAGCTTTTGAAAGGTAGTAGAAATTATATTTTATTTCAGAATGTAGGGCTGGGATTTAGCTCTGGTGCCGCAGCCTGCCTCACAAGCACAAAGACCCAAGTTCGATCCCTGGTACCAAAAACAAAAAACAAACAAACAAACAAAAAAAACAAACAAACAAACAAAAAACACCAAAAAGAATGTATGTACCTTCTGCATGGAAACAGTCGCATTTTAAACTTGCATTAAAAATTCTGTTGAATGCATTAGGGAA